GGACTTTTTCCCTTACGGAGATGGGGAAGTGGAAGTTGTGGACGTGGCCAAGCGCACCGTTGACGCCGTCGACGGCGGTCACGCTTATTGGACCGGGTACGGTTGAGTGGCGCTCACTGGTATCACAATAGGGTCAGGTACTTTACATCTCGGCCCAACTTTAAGGGTATGGTCCGAGGCGCGGGTAGGACTTATACTGCCGCAAGGCAGTTGGTGGCCACAGCCGTCCACAGGGCTCAACAGGATCAACTACAGAGTCTGGGTGAGTTGAAGGAGAGTGAGGGAGCTGCTCCACCACTGTTGTGTTAGAGAGGATGACCGACGCTGTTGGTATAGCTCAGCATCATGATGCTATTACTGGTACCGAGAAGCAGCATGTTGATGATGACTACTGTAAAAAACTGCACGAGGCAACAGAAGGAGTAGAAGGCACCTGCACAGTCGGGCACCATCATCTCCTGCTAGGTTATGGAATCCATTGTCATCCCCGAGACCATGTCGAGGTTTGGTCTTCGCAATGGTGGTGGCTACTGCCCTCTCCTCAATGAGAGTATATGTTCATGGACCGAAGAACTTTCGACTGAATCCTCCTCGGTTTTGATGGCGGTTTACAACCCCCTTAGTCACCCCATCACTTCTGTCGTATCGGTGCCCATCGCGCCACCGAAACAAAAAGCGGAGTCTCCCGAGGCTGATGACAGTATCGAGAGTTATTCGGTTCAGAGAAGCCTCATGGGGTCATTGAATCGCCATTGCAAAGGGATGGCAGTCGCTGTTGAGAAGGCGGTAAGCAAGCAGGGTGTGAAGGTAGGAGCTCCTCTATGTTATCAACGACTCACTTTTCCTCACTATGATCAGAGCTGGGTGACTGATGACGACGACCATCGTGGCACCCCAACCTCCACACTATACTTCACAGCAGAGGACGTGCCTCCAATGGGGTCGGCAATCTACCGGTAGGAAGGCTTCCAACCGATGCTACTACAGCATTTCCAGTTTGAATTGAAAGTTTAACCGAATTACTGAAGGAACTTCCACCATCGCTT